TAAAACAGAGTTTGCAATCCATTTTTTGTATATGCGTTGGAACAGAGTTTGAAACCCAGTTTTTGTATGTGCTTCGGAACAGTGTTAATTCGGGTTTCAAGCACAAACTAACCAGTTTAAGCAGGATCACATCCCTATTGTAAAGATTACATGAATGAATTATACTACTAGACATGTGATCCAGACATAAAAATTCAAGAAAAGAACCATTTGATAGACTAATATTAAAAATTGGACAGAGCAATACTAAATTTGAGACGGCTAAATTAGCCAATCGTATGAATTTCCTACCATAAATAACCGGTTACCCGGGTGACTCGGTTGGCAATTTCTTCGTACATAAGTTCGTGTAACTTCACGCCAATCAAATCGCGAACACTAATTTGTTTCATAAAATTTCATTTTTTAAAGCTTTGAGCGAAAATACATCGACCATCATCTAAGCAAGGTCAATAAACTTTTTTTTACTTTAATTCTATGGATCTGTAGAATTAAAATAAAAAGTTCATCGGATTTGCCTAGACAGCTGTTAAGATATCTGCGTTCAAAGTTTGGTAAAGAATTGAAACGCCTATCAAATTAATAATAAATTGGTTTTAAAACTTTAACCAAAAATTTTTCGCTAACCGTCTAAGCAAATTCGAAGACCTTTTCTTTATTTTACTTTTACAGATCCGTAGGATTAAAATAAAAAAAAATTATTCAAATTTGCTTAGGTAGTTGTTAAGGTATCTGCGCTCAAAGGTTGGTAAAGGATGAAAACACCTATCAGTAATATTTTTTTTTAAAAACTTTAATGAAGATTTCTCTACAACTGCCTAAGCAAATTCGATGAACTTTTTTATTTATTTTAATTCTACAGTCTGTACAATTAAAGTAAAAAAGGTTCATTGAATTTACTTATTTAGACAATTGTTGAGGTATCTTCGTTCCAAGATTTAAAAAAATTGAAAACATTGGTATATTAAAATTCACGATTTGATTGGCCGAGCTAGATATGATATGATGTACGTGATGAAGTTACACCAACTGATGTTGCCGTAATTTTATAAACAGGTAAACCAGAGCTTAAATTTTTATGCTCTACTCATATCGAAAAACGGTCGAAATTAAATTTAGCACTTAACTTTACAATGACCGACCAAATTTCTGTAAAGGATATTCACCAGTCCTTCAAAGCTAAACAAACTTCAAAATTTTTAGATCCGTGTCCAAACGAAACTTATGCTGCTATGAAATGTTTGGATTCAAATAATTATGACAAGAGTAAATGCCAAGATTTATTTTTACAATACCGTGAATGTAAAAAAAAATGGGTAAGGAATTTTATGACTTTATATATAACTACGTATTAAATGCATGTAAATTTTCAATTTATTATTTTTTTTTCGTCTATTCTGTGCAGTTGAAAGAGCGTAGAGAACTACGAAGACGAGGACTATTGTGAACAGTTTAATCATTGAAACGCAATCGTGAAAATTACAAGGATGTATCAAATTGGCAATATAATGCAAACTGGCATATTAACATATACAGCAATAATTTGTTTCTGAATATATATATTTTTTTTGAGGCTTCACCCATTTATTATAATCATTCACATCTATAATTAATAAATCTTGAATATGTAAAAGAAAAAGTTCAATTTAATCATCGAGATATAAAATGATCGATTGATCTATTTTAACTAGCTTTTATTCAAAGACGCGATTTGGGAATGAAGATTACTCCAAGCCAAATACGAGCCAATGACGTTAAATTATTGGATTTTTTTTAAATTTTGATTATTATTTTTTTTTTAAAAAAAAGAGGTACCTGAAAAGCTCAATCATCGTAATACCGACGACCTCGATCACGTCGATAATCTTTACCGTTTCTCTTACGACTATAATCATCATAATCTCTTTCTGGATAATCTCTTTCGTCACGTCGATATTCTCTGTGCTTTTCTCTGCGACCACGAGGGTAAGGCTCGGGCCGAACATATGATTCTCGACGGTGGTCACGTTGGCTTGAATCACGAGATGAATATACTCGTGATTGCTAAAGACATACTTTCCAATGAGATTTGAAAGGCAAACGAAATCGTAGAATACAACAAAACAAACCCTTATGGATTGAACCATTCAATAATCAATCTTTACCTTCCATTCATGAAGAGTTTCACGAATCTGCTTGTATCCTGTATGTTGCTTTCCTTGCAGATGAGCGTCCATACGATTGGACGTATCATTTGTCACTAGAAAAGCTCCACATACTTCACAAACTAACATTCTTCTTTCTTGTTTAAATAATGGATTTGAATCGTCACTCTAAGAATTTCAAATCATAAAGGATGGACCGGAGAATTGGTTTCATGGAATTGATTTGGAGATAGAAAGGTTAGTGAACAGGGAATCAAAATATGAAAGTCTACCGATTTTTCAAATGTCTCCCTGGAATTTATGTTCAATATATAGTGGAAGATATCGTAAAGTAGCTTCTCAAAATAAAAAAGTATGTTGCATCACGGAAGATGCTAAAACTGTTGGGTTGTAAAGTTAGCTTTCAGGAACGTTCTCGAAGGAACGTCTTGTTATCCAATTTAGCTTTTAGATTTTATAAACTACATGTTATACAATGAAGTTACCTCATATAGTAGGCTTTCCTTCTTCGCTTGTTTCCTACGTAATACGTCACTTTTTTGAATTATGTACTCACGTTTTTCAAGAAATCCAAATCTTTTTGAAACGTTTCTACTTCTTTAGTCAAGGTTTGTGCTTCTTGAACGCGTCCTTCTTCACCTGCTTCCTCAATCTTAAAAATTACAAGCTTTAAAATCTATGAAAATATATCATAAACCATTTATTTTAAAAATTGGTTTATTACCTTTGTTAATAGTTCCTTGATTTTTATATCTAATATAATCATCCTTTCTTCCTTTTCATCTTTATTAGGATTTAAAAGCTACATGTGCAAATGAAAGTAAATAGAAGTTAATAATTTTATAACAATCTTAAGAAGTTATTAAGTGCGAATAACATTGTATACCGTATCATCCGGACGGACGTTTAATCTATCGTTCCCCTTTCGAATTTTTTTGTCCAAGTCATTACACAGCGATTGTAAATAGTCATAGAATTTGATTTCATATCCATACTTTCCACGCTCTGGTGTCTCTTGATACCTAATCACAGTATAAAAATGCTATAATGATTTTTGACATTTGAGAATATAATTCCATTTTTGTAAAAAGGAATATTACGCACTGTTGACGTAGCTTTTCATCGTGTATTTTAGTACAGGGGCCTAGATCATGACCAAAATCAATTAAACGTTAAGAAAGTTCAGAGATAAAAAAAAAAAAGGGAGTTTATATGTACCAAGATCGGATTTTGTGTTGGTGAAGAGAGAATTAGGGCAAAATTTGACCAGGAAATGTTTGCATACGCTGTCATCCCAAAAGTTATGTTTTGCTGACGATTCGTAAGGTGCCATTAACTCCTCTAATAGTTGTCGTTGATAATCCATTAGAAGTTACGTTCAATAAAAAAAAAAAAGATTTTGTATAAATTTCGCGATGCAAAGCTATTGTTTTTTTTTAACCAAGTTTTTTGTTTTTTTTTTTTACGTATATTTTTAACATTAATACACAGTAATATCAAAATAAACCCATGTCCAATCAAATTGTTTAGATGTCGTGTTATATAGAGATAGGGGTCTGACTAATCTTAAACTCGCGAAAACTAGTCACTTTACTTTGCACCTCACGTTGAGATTTTTTTTTTTTATAGCAATGGAAGTTTTAAATAGTGCACAAACAGAGTATAAAAAAATAGAGGCGAAACATATTGATTTTTTTCCAAAGATTACAGAGAAAATGGAAACGTCAACTTTGCGTGAAACAAACCAAAAAATACTTCAAGAGTCTACAAGTACAGTAGAGACAGTAAAGCAAAACCTTACCGACATTTTACGGTCTGTTGAGCTTTTAACGTCACAAGTGTCAGATGATCATAAAGAATTTCAAAAGACGATATCGAGATACGAAAAAGTAATAGACAAGAAATGGAAACAAGATATTACAATCGCCAGCAATCCTGACGCATTTGTTGATAAAGAACAAGTTCTTCAAAGAACCATAGCTTTACATTTTATACGCCAAGGAAAATTTAAATTAGTGGAAACTTTCATGCAAGATACGCAATTAATGGATATCACTACTGATTTACAAGAACAATTTGATAATATGTACAGAATTTTGGAGGCTATTAATAATTTCGATTTACGTCCAGCTTTAGAGTGGGCAAAATCAAAACGTAGAGAATTAGAACAAAGGGGTAGCTCGTTGGAGTTTGATCTTCATCGCCTTCAATACATTAAATATCTTGTTAAACAGAAAAACAAAGAAGAAGCTTTAAATTATGCCAGAATAAATTTCAATTATTTCCAAACAAGATACATGCACGAAATCAGGCGACTTATGTGTGCTATATTATACATCAACCGTCTAGAATCATCTCCTTATCCGGAGTTAACGTCAGATGATGCATGGACAGATATTAAAATAACATTCACGCGTGATTTTTGCAATCTATTGAAAATGTCGTGTGATAGTCCCTTATATACAAGTTTAACAGTTGGTTCGACTGCATTACCTACGATCATCAAAATGGCGACCATTATGAAGGAAAAGAAGAATGAATGGAGTCAACAGGATGAACTACCGGTATATATATATTTACATAAATATATACATTTTTTTGTTTTTTTTTCTATTGTTAAGGTGAGGCTACGCCTCTATCTTTATTAGCAATTTTATGCGATGTAGTTATCAGAACCTTTATTCAAAGTTTATAAATTACATGGCAAGAATTAGGACTCAGATTAATTTATCTACAATTTAAAGCTACTTGAGTGGTCTGAACTCGCCTAGATTATTTATACTTAACTATTGATTATTTCTTTAATTTTTCGTTAATTTGGTGTGAAGGTTGAAGTTCCTCTTACAGATGATATGAGGTTCCATTCTATTTTTGCTTGTCCTGTATCGAAAGAGCAATCGTCAGAAGACAATCCTCCAATGATGATGCCATGCGGACATGTGATATGTAAAGAGAGTTTGAATAAATTGAGTAAGGGAAACGGTCGTTTTAAATGTCCATATTGTCCAAGTGAATCTACATCAAATCAGGCTGTGAAGGTGCATTTCTAAGGTAAGTTATTTTAAATTGTGTTTTTATTTTAGTATTTATTAGAAAATTATAGTGTTCTAATTAGAGATTGTTATATGTAAATGTTCACAGAAAGAAATTTTCCTTGATGTCACGAATCAGGCTATTGTCAGGTTATTGTATCAAAGAAAGCTATAAGATTATTCATTAATACAGCAGTGTAGAGAAACAAGTGTGGATTGTTGATAGGTGAAACAAACATATAGTCCCAAGCAAAGCCTTTCTAAATTGTAAAAACATTAAAATGACAACTCCTTTGTTGTTATGTATATTACCATTATTAACAGCTATCCAGAAATTAGTTAAATGGAAAGTTTTGTACAGAGAAATAAAATCGTACGCAATTCAGCATAAATCGCAGCTTAATTAATTATCTTTGGCCTTATTTGGCCTTTCGTCCTCAGGAAAATTTTTAGCCTCATATGTCAGATCATTACATTAATGTTAATTAATGGCATATGTATTTCAGAAATACTTATTCGTACAACTGATGCAAACTTTAAAAAAAAATATTTGATGTATAAAAACTAAATACGTAAAGTTATAAATTTAAATTAGAACATTAGTGTTAGATAGGCGCTATAGAATAATAGTCATGTAATTATGTCATAGGATGAAAAACGTTATACAAAAATAATTTTCTCGATTATAGCTGTTAGAGTGCAACAATGTAAAAGTGTTAACATATTTTAAATAACGAAACTTATGACATTAGTGTTATAAAGCTATTTACTCATTAAAAATTTACTAATTTTGGTATACTAGAAATGATAACAATTAACTTTAACATGACTTGCAAGTGAAAATTATAGATTTTTTATATAAATATATAAAAGTTTGAAATAAAGTTTTTATTAATTGTTTTTTTTTACTTGATACAAATTTAAACTATAAATATTAGAATTTATTAAAAACAAAAATAATTATATTTTTTATAAATAGAGCTAATTGTATTAGTGGTTAAACTATATTCAATTAAATTTTAATTTAAAGGTTAGAAGTAGTATTAGTTTAAAGTATATATGTAAGGTTCAGATCAAACTAATTTGACTATATATAATCAAATTTGTTTATTGGTTAATTTTTTAATTTGGTTTATAGTGTTAAATTATTTGATCAATTTTGATCAAACCAGCTTAATCAAAATCTCTTTGACTAATAATTAGCAAATTTATAATTAATTACTAATTTGATCAATACTGATAAAAATCTAAAACTAGTTTATATGTATAATAAATTTTTTGTATTATATTATATATAGTTTAAATTATATATAAAATTTTTACAAAGAAGATATGATAACTTAGTAAAATAGATAAGTTATTAATTTTCAAGTCAGATTTTGTTACTAAAATACCTAATAAAATAAAGAAAAAGATAAGTAAATATGCATATTTTATTATAATTGAATTAATAAATTACTTATTATACAAAGAATTTAATATTTTTAAAATATTCATATAAGTAAATATTTTATTAAAAGTTTATTTTATATTAGAATAAATTTTAGTATCATAATAATCTTATTGAGTTAATATTTAGACTGCTTGATGAACATAGTAATCTAAATTTTTGTCAATGTTTATATATTCAAAATTTAAAATTTGTATTAATTGGTTATATTATCTTATTATTAAATAATATTAAAAACTAAAAAATTAATATTACTAAGTTATCCCTTAAACAGTAAACCATTTCCAGGCAAATTTGTCTGAAAAATTAACAAAAATATACTTATGATCTATATTTTTTAAATTTTAAAATATTTAAATAAAATTTT